GAAGGCCGTCGTTTTATGTGACCAAACCATCTAAGGAGTCTCTCATTCTCATCTTCCACTGGAGCTACTCCAACCTATTCACCTATATGCTCATTTCGTATCTTGTCTCTAAGGGTAAAGCCACTCATCCACCTGAGAATTTTCATATCTACAACACTTAACTTAGAATTATGCTTCTCTTTTAATGGCCAACATTCTGCACCATAAAGCATTACAGCTCTCACGACCATCTTATAGAATTTTCCCTTAAGTTTAAGGGGGACTTTTCTATCACACAATAAGCCCGATGCATTCCTTCACTTCAACCATCCAACTTGAATTCTACTGATAATATCCTCGTCTATTTCACCATCACTCTGAGCAATAGATCCAAGATATCTAAAATGTGTACTCTTATTAATGACTTGATCGCCCAAAGTCAGAATCCTCCCTGATGTATGCAACTTGAAGCAAAACGCAAAGAGAGAACAACAAAGAGAATCAAGACCCACTTTTAGAAATTTAAGACACCGCTTGGAGAACAAAATAGACTAGATAAATCAACTAAAATTCATATTAGAAAAGAACGCATCATCCAACAAACCCAACAAAAGAAAGCTAGCAAAAGAAACAAAACAAAATTAAAAAAATGCTATCCTCAGAACATCTTACAAGAGGACTCCTCACATGCACCGATTGTAGGAATATATATTTCAAATAAAGTTTAGATATGCAAACCAAGGGTCCACCACTGCAAAGGGGTCCAATGTCCTACCAAACTCCTCCAGCAAATGCCACCAAAACAGCCAACAAATCTTACCAACGGAACCAGAAGAAAAATACAGGTGGAGTGAAACTTGCGTACATAAGAAAGAGGTTAGAAGCCCAGATGAAGGGTGGAGAAGCTCGCAAGCCTTCCAAGAGGTAGAAGAAGAAGTGGACAAAGCTCTCAAGCTTTTCCAAGAAGAACCCGCAGGCTATAGCAACTTTGCTCTCAATAATCACCAACCTTCTTCATCTCAGAATATCTAATATATTTAGGCAATAGAGGGGAAACTAAACAGCCCCAAAACCTCTTCAAATCCACACATAAATGAGGGAATGAAAGGCCAACAGTCACTATACCAAAATCCCAAACGGCACAGCAAAAGAATCAGGAAAAAGGCCACGAATCCAGGCAGGTACATCACGGAACCCAGCAGCTAAACAACCACCACAAATTCGGTAAAATGGGGACAACGGGACATTAATTCAGAAGCAAACCGAGGGGCCAAAACCAGCAAGAAACCACGGCATCCCAAGAGACATAAGGGAGAGGAAAGGGCAAGTTCCACTCACCTAAATATGCTCATTTCACATTTAATTTCAGAACTAAACATCAGCTCATAATGAGATACACCTCCACTTGATAATAATGAGCTGGCACCACTAGAATTCCAACAACTAAAGCTTAAACCGAAAACAACAAAGGCCCACTTGAAACCAACAAACAGTCCAAAGGACAAGGTGGACCCCAAAACCAGCAAGCCCAAGGTAAGCATAACCCAAACCTTTTCCTACCATGATCATTGGATTTACCACCATCATTGGATAGCTTAAAAATAAAACAAAAAATAGAAAATATAACTAATATTGTTCAAAACAAAAATAATGCAAAAATCTAAATGCATCACTCCCACTAGGTCTATTACTACTAAAATTACACTCTATATATTCAATTTTAAATCTACTCGAACTAAAACCTTTAGAATCTAAGATTGACCTACATAAATCAAGTTTACATTCAACTCCCTCTCTAGTCTTATCAACAAGAAGAATATCATCAGCAAAAAGCATACACCAAGGCACATCCTCTTACAAATTTCTAGTGAGAACATCCATAACTAAAGCAAAAAAATATGACCTTAAGGCTGATCCTCGATGTAATCCAACCGAAATAGGAAAATACTTGGTCAAACCACCTTTTGTATGAACACAAGTAATAGATCTTGTATACATATCTTTAATGATTTGAATATAAGCGTTATTAACTCATTTCTTTTCAAGAACTCTCTATAGCACTGCTCTTGGAACTTTATCATATGTTTTATCTATGTGGGGCCGGCTACAACATCAAGCCTTTATCCCACTATGTGGGGTCGGCTACATGAATCTTTTTTTCTCCATTGTATCCTGTTAAAAGTTAAATTCTCATTTAAATCTAATAAAGAAATATCATTTCTAATATTTTATAACAAAGTTTTTTTAGGTCTACTCTACCTTTCTTAACATAAGTCAAATCTAATACATCTAATTTCTTAACCGGGTCATCGGAAGGCCATCGTTGACCAAACCATCTAAGGCAACACTCTCTAATCTTATCTTCCACTGGAGCTACCCCAACCTTTTCACGCATATGCTGATATGCTCATTTCGTATCATGTCTCTAAGAGTGAAGCCTCTCATCCACCAAAGCATCCTCATCTCTGCAACTCTTACTATCATGCTTCTATTTTAATGGTCAACATTCTGCACCATAAAGTATTGCAAGTCTAACCACCAATTTATAGAATTTACCTTAAGTTTGAGGGAGACTTTTTTATCACACAACAAGGCCGACACATTTCTCCACTTCAACCATCCAACTTGAATTTTACTAATAATATCCCCATCTATTTCACCATCACTTTGAAACAATAGACCCAAGATATATAAAACGTATACTCTTATTAATGATTTGATCATCCAAAGTCACAATCCCTCCACTAGAACTATTATTACTAAAATTACACTCCATATATTCAGTTTTATATCAACTCAAATGAAAGCCATTAGACTCTAAAGTTGACCTCCATAATTCAAGTTTACCTTCAATTCCCTCTCTAATCTTATCAACAAGAAGAATATCATCAGCAAAATGCATACACCGGGAAAAAAAGGAGTCAAAAGATAGAATTTCCCATTAAACAAAATGAAACTTGATTGAGTAGTTGATAAACAAGAATGAGTGATGACCCTTATCCTAATGGAGAATCATCAGGGATGCGGAAGAATCTAAGTATTCAATGAAATGGATAGAATGGATGTCAAAGAAAATTTGAGGCCAAAGGGATTGAGCATGCACATAGCCAAGCACAAGAAGAAAAAAAGTAAAATCTTCATTAAGGAATAACTTCATACTTGTACTTTCTGTAGAAGATTTCGGGTTCGATGTAATTTCTCTATGTGTTCCCTTTTTTCAAACAAAGATTTGTTCACAACGTCACTCTTGGATTGCACGGACATAATCTGTAGGAGTATAGCATAAAAAAAGTTAATATACAACAAGAAAAATAAAATTCACACACTCACAAACACATCTTAAAACCTTATTGAGAAGATGCTCCATGTTTGCCTCCATGCCAACAATATTACTTTTCATCCTGCAAAGAGAACACAGTGTTATTTCTTTTGAAAATCCTATAGAAAATAAATATTCACTACGATATTTGAATCCAAAATATGCAGTACAATGCACAATGTCTTGATGGAACAAAACCAACTAATTAATCAATCTATGTGTAAAAAGACAAAATATAAATTGATTGTGTTGCAATGTTATATCTATTTTTTGTTTAGTGAGAACAGATAGAAAATGTCAATCAGAATCAGAAAAACATCTTTTATAGTTTGAAGCAACTACTAAGGTTCTGGATAAACGCCATGGTGAAATATTAAGGTGAAATATTAAGGTCACTAGACAAAGATCTCAATGGAAAGTTATCAAATCTGTGCATAAAGTTTCCAACTAATAGAAAAGTGTGTAAGATGTTGCCTAATATATGACCAAGTTTAGGCCATTTTAATGAAGAGGGAAATTAATTGGTAATCACCATTATCAGCAGAAGCTCTAGTTACAGAAAGTTTGAGCAAGTTTATTTCTCCATTTATTTTTGTTTGATGTATTCCATTTGAGCTCCAGTTCAGTTAGATCCTTTAAAACAACTTCTAGTCGCCTAGCCATCACAGCCTTGGTGATGTAGAACGGGTAGGAGGTTTTGAATCCTAAGGGTCTTGAAGAGCAATTAGTGAGGTTTAAACAGCATCTTTGACATCAGGGACAGCAGTTTTGTCTTGTAGAAACTTCAGGACAGCAGGTAGAATCTGTCCGGAATGCAGAAAATTGTTCTGGACAGCAACCTATATTGCTCAGAAAAGCTTTGGGCAGCACATAGAAACTCTAGGACAGCCATTCGTGGCCTTCAAAAGTGCTGGACAGCAAGATATTCTTGCTGGATTAAGTGGAAAACCAAAGTCAGGTGCAGGAATTTCTGGCAGCAAGCTTGAGAAACAGAAATCGGCCGCCTAGAATCGGCGGCCGGCCAGGATGGTGGCGCGGCTTGGGCAGGGACGCCTGGGGATGGCCGTGGGGAGTCAATCCGTGGCCTGGGTGGAGAGGGGAGGGCGGTGGCCAGGCGGCGGGTCGGCTGGAGGCAGGGCAGCTGCCAATCGGCGGCCGAACCACGTGAGGGCAGCGGAATTTTGAGGGGAAGATGATGATCCGAATGGAATTCCTGTGAGCTCACACCACTTGACTACAAAACAAGTTAAGAGAAGGCCTAGAACTCACAAAGAGATCTAGCTCCTCTCAAAACTCACTAAGAGATTTGAGAGAGAAGTTGCACTCACAAAGAGAACACGAAACTAAAATTTTCATTTCATCCAAAACTAAAAGATTACAATGCATAATGCCTCATATAAGGAGGCTCAAACTAAAAGAAAAGACATAAACGTCCTCGGGGCTTCATAAGTCAAACAATGCCCTCAGGGGCAAACTAGGAAAACTAAGAAAAGAACACATGACATAAGCTGTAAATAACTCAAAAGTAGAGGCTCTGGATCGTAGCCGTCGATCTGCGCCGTCGGTGATGGCACACGTGTCGAAATCTGATGTCCCCATCACTAAGGTTCTGGATAAACGCCATGGTGAAATATTAAGGTCACTAGACAAAGATCGCAATGGAAAGGTATCAAATCTGTGCATAAAGTTTCCAACTAATAGAAAAGTGTGTAAGATGTTGCCTACTAGATGACCAAGTTTAGGCCATTTTAATGAAGAGGGAAATTAATTGGTAATCACCATTATCAGCAGCTCTAGTTACAGAAAGTTTGAGCAAGTTTATTTCTCCATTTATTTTTGTTTGATGTATTCCATTTGAGCTCCAGTTCAGCTAGATCCTTTAAAACAACTTCTGGTCGCCCAGCCATCACAGCCTTGGCCAACACCATCAGCAAACCCGATCCTTCATATTAATCCTATCCTCTTTACATAAATCTTAACCCAGCCGAAATAAACGTTTTTCATATTATATCCAATATATGGATTTCACACTCACTCATTTTTTATTTTACATAAACTATAAGTTATTTTAACTTATTTGCGATCAGGTCCGAGTAAAAAATAATTTCTAGACTGAAACATATAGATCTATCTTTCTTTGCATTAAAATCTGAAGATGTACATTGGAATGCACTTACAATGGGTGAAATCATATATAATCTCTAAGTAGCAGTAAGGAGATGAAGCAAACAGCATATTCATCAATAATTGAAACAACCAACTTACCTTCCTTCAAACTGATATGAACTGAGAAATGTGCGTGATCCAAACATCTGATGGAAAATGTGGCAAATGAAGGTATGATGAGAATAATTGCTTTCAAGGACATATAGATTTAAAACATCTTTTCTACGCACTACACTCTGAAACCATCTACTCTCTGTACAAGGTATTGAGCAGTTCAAACACCGCCTACCCACCCAACATCCAAACCCAACCTTAATCTCCACTAAACATAGTCCTATGCTGCCTTGAAGGCAATTTGTTCCAATCCTGAAGTTCTTTCTTTCAGAAAACGCAATACACAATTCTTTGTTCTCATATATACACTAAGTTTATGAGATACTACAGCTCAGAAGAGGAATTTTGCATTACAAACACAGTGCCCTTGGTTAAAAATGAGCAAAGAGAATTCATCAATAATCAAGAAAGCTAAAAAACATATCATGTCCGCAAAAGAAGAAATGAGAATTCTAGAAACTGCTCCAGATTTACCTTTGATATGATTACCAGGAGACCCAAGTGCTTAGAAGTACTTCAGATGGTGGAGAAAATATCAAGGTGCGTTAAATAAGTTCCTGAATTCCAACAGTATCCTTGCACTAGCTCTCTATCACTAACTAGATGCATCGTTAGTGCTATAATTTGAACACTGAAAGAAGACCTCAACCTAATACAAAATAAACTCATTACAAATTACATATGACGCCAATCTCTCCGACTAAGGCCTAATAATACCATCCCAATAGTTTTCCCCTGATAAAAAAGGCAATTTAGAAAAATGTCAAATACATAACCAACGCAAACATATAATTATAGAACATTACATATTTAAGCAATAAGAGAGTTTAAATTAAAGTTTATAGTTCAGATCTATAAAACAAAATACTAACATGTCTCCCTGTCGAAAATGCAAAAATGGAACATTAAACCCATCTAACTTAAAAGCTTAATAAGCTCCACTAATATTAAAGTAGGGCTTGAACCTTATCAAGCTAAAATCCAAACTATCCAACTATTTCTTCTTAAATCAACTCAACCATTCATTTTTTTTCGTCCTCTGCATTGTTTGGTTGCTTCCTGCTACATCGTTTTTCAAATAAAGCACCATATCACATGTGAATCTGAAATAGAACATTGATGTTCCTTAAGACAAAGCACGAGACTCATTGATCAAACTAAAGGTCCAAGTTAAGGTTTTCACCAGAAAAGTAATAGGAAACAAAAAAGAAAGTGGTAGGATGACTCAGGAATAGCCTTTTTTTATGCAACTAACAAAACGAGTAGTATACTTTAATGCCAAGGAAAATTAAGAATTCATATATTATAAATTACTAATCAAATCAGTAACTCACTTTTTTCAAAAAGTGAACAAGCAATAATACTCTTAAAGCCCAATTCATAATGAAATTTTTGCAAAAATCGGAGAATTTCGGCTGGAATTTGGCAACAAATAAAATCAATGGGAAAATGAATTAATTATCACAAAATCGTACTGTTGGCATATTAATTTTAACAAAAATCAAAAGTTCTAAACTAGCAAATACCAAATTAGATAGATGAAATAATAAGGAACGAAATTTTAACAAAATAGAGAAAATAAGCCTTACATTAGCATAAGAAAATAATGTAGTCTCACATGTACCACACCCAAAGGAATCACAACTCCTCATCAAAAAATTGCACACCCCATATCCAAAAATATTACCCAAAAAATCGAACAAAAGATCAGCAATAGTACCGCAAATCATGTCTCTCTATGCTTCCGACAGTCACATCCACTCCTACACACGATGTGCATATATGAATCACACGCTCAACTACCTAAATGCACCTCATTTCTTCTTTTTCAAAATAATTCCAATACCATCACTCAAGAACAGTAGCCGCGCATTAGCATGGCATCACAGTGACTGTAAGGAAGCATAGGACTGATACAAAAAATTAGTGCCAGATGATGCTTAGATACTTGCATGTAAATACTTAATTTCTTCTCATGCCTTCTATAATGTTAAAAATGATTATTTAGTACCTTTAGTTGATAAACATCAAATCACTGGAACGTGAAAATTTCCCCGCTCATTCCAATTGGCAACTTGTATTGTCTACCCTTTCTCATCTCCCTCTTATGGTCTACTGAATTGAAATTAAGGACCAACCTAGGATTTTTTTTTACAGGGACCCAATATATCAAAGTTAAAGCTATGTACTTTGAAGGGCTAAAGGGCAAGACAATCTGGTATATTTTGTAGTTAAAATCTTATTAAATTTATTTTTGAGTAAGAATCAAAGTGATTTAGAAGAAATAAAATAGTTGAAATTTTAAATGTGTGGGTTTTTCAACTTTTCATCTCCAGTGTCTTGGTCTTCCATCCATAAGAAACAGAAAAGGGCATGTTCTCAAGTTGCAGAGTTGATTCACGATATACCAGTTTCTACAAAAATTATTGCTATAATGCATGCAGGTACCAATATGAAGAAAAGCATAACTCTGTTTTTCGAGTTCTTTTGTAAGCAGTGGAGGAAAATGATCCTTGCCAAAGCTACAAGACTGGACTTCTTCTACAATTTTATAGTACTATGGAGCACAACGTGCTGAAGTATTGAAATATGCTCTCTTAGTGCTCCTCATCTTCTTGAGTATTAAATCTATTTGCCTTCTTCATTAAATAGATATAAGATCAATTATGCATTGATAAGAAGACTGGTGTTCCTTTCCTTGCAGACAGTTTAATCTGGTTTATAATATGTGTATGTACAATTGAGTCTTTCTTGTTCAATGACAAATGATATAGAACTAATACAATCTAAAAATATTCATTTTTTTTTATTTTGATTTTCATTTATATTCATTATTTCATATCCATAAGTGTTTCATCTCATGCACAAAGCAGTGAAAAAGGATGAATAAGCAAACCTTATTAAATAAAAGTGATGATGATAACATCTCATTTTACCATCATCATCATAAACAACTTCTAATCATAATTTATTCCTCCCAGTTAAATTCATTCACACTTGATGAACTGGAAAATTAGAAAGTGTCCATTGAAAATGCTAATAATAGTAGTTCAGCTCATGACTTAATAAGGGATCATAGTTGAACTATGGAAAAATCAACTTATGCTAAAAGTGTATTAGCCATGGGTTTTCGAATTTCCAACCACCATAGTAAACTAAACATGATGAAAAAGCTTTTCAACCATCATTGTTGAAAGTTAAAAAAAATTAATGAACAATCAATATAGCCACAAGCCCATGGTGATGGAGCAACTGAACTATTTCACTCATACAGCTTTTGAAACGTTATAAACCTTTCAAAATGCTAGTAGGATCCCAAGTAACCAAAAAACTACAACAAAAATCTTCACTTGTAGAACTTGCCTCTTAAATTATACAAGCTTTTCATTCCAAACAATCATCTTACAAACTGCAAGTACCAAATACATATAAAAATGACAGAAACTTGATCCATCTGGATAATTAGAATGTGTATAAGTAGATTCATAATGTGAAGTGTACCATGATCATAGTATGGTCAAACAGAGAACATTACCTCTTTATTGTATCTGTTGCACTAATAAACTTGTTATAATTTTCATAAACCAACATTTGCAAGTCAGTATCAAGATTTTTTATCTCAGCTGCCATTTCAACATGCTTCTGAAGAAGCCCATCCAAATTTAGCTTTTGGACCTAAAGAACATGAGATTAAATAAACAATATTGATTTAGAATACATGCATATATGAACGTGCAATATCTGGAACACGTTTTAATGATATAAGCATTTTAAATATCAGCATGTAAGAAATTATAAGTCCACGCAACGTAACATGTCGCATCCTTAAGAAGAACTAATTATCGCATAGCCTACAAGTCGACCCTAATGACTAAGCAATTTAAATCTCATGAGTCTCTAGGAAATCACAACAGAAAGTCTCTAGGAAATCACAACAGAAAGTCTCTAGGAAATCACAACAGAAGGTCTCTAGGAAATCAATGAACAAAATTAATTTTAACACAATGTCATCCAATTCCTGGTTTAGAAGTTCACAGTCATTCTAGCAAAAGAGCCAAACTCAAATAAAATAAAATAAAAAAATTGTAGTTTCATTTCTTCTTTTCAGTCTATTAGAAATGTATGGGATATATTCAGCAAACTTCGCCGTTGCCGTCTGTCAGTGAATTCACACAGCCCGACAAAAGAGATAGAACAAACCACCATAATCCATCCAAAGGAGCAACACAGATCAAGCCAGAATTTGATAAAATCCACCGAATACTCCAAAACTTAGCACATCCTCATAAGTTGTCCGCAGCAGAACATGCCTAAAATGCATGTATTTTAAAATGCATGCAACCAAACAACCACCAAGTCATTCCCAAATTAACCATAAAACTGAAGATAAAAGAACTCGACTGCCTCGCCAGTATATCTAAAGAAAATTTTAAAAAAATAAAACGAAAGAAGAAAATAAGAATGCAATTTACAATAATAGACATGTAAATATCAGAATCGAAGTTGGGCGAGTTGATGGAATCAGCGGGGGCCGACCGCCCGGGGCTAATGCTTGAGCCGCTGCCGCTGCCACCGCCGGATGTATTGGAAGAGTAGAAGCTCGCAAGGAGATCCCGCGTCCTCTTGGCCTTCTCGTCCAGAGGAGGCGAAGCGTTCTCGAAAGCCATTATCCTCACCGTTTGAATCTCCTCCATGATCTCTCTCTCTCTATCTATCTATCTATCTATCTTCTATTCACTCTCACCCTTCCTCGCCCGATCTCGAAACGTCGACCAGTTGACCGTTCTGATCGGAGATGTCACGCCCGCGTCAGGAAGGCGGTACACTGTATTGGCGGAATTTTTATTAGGTCCGATGCGGTGACGTAGCTTTACGTTCCCACCGCAATGATATGTCGTCACCTTCTCCTATTTTTTATCGTGCGCCTCACGATCTGGAACGAAACCCGGGATTATATGTTCGTGTATTGCTCGGTATTGTTAGGTATTACTTGATAATAATGAGAAATATTGCTCTGTGAAAATCAATACCTAGCAATACCTGGCAATACCGAACAATACCTAGCAAAACTGGTGTATTGCTCGGTATTGCTCGGTATTGATATGTATTGCTCGGTATTGCTAGGTATTGGTCTTCACAAAATGGTATTTCTCGTTATTACCGAGCAATATCGAGCAATACCTAACAATACCCCAATCTGCACAAATCAGCCAATACATAGCAATCTCGGGTCCGATCTGGGTCAGGTCGTCGGGCCGCGCGGAAAAGAGTAAGAGCACGTGGCACCATTTTACTGGCGTCCAAACGTAGAGCTATGTCAGGACACCGGACCTAATAAAAATTCGTATTGGCGGGGCTGGAAGTAGCTCTACTTCTGGAATATAATAAAATTTTATATAAATAATGAAATTGTAACTTCTATGTTGGACATGTGGAAATTTAATATTTTATTTTTTTTCTTATTAGCCTAATAAATTCGGCTCAAAATGAATTTCATATTTTATTTCTATCTTGTCAGCCAACCGATCTAGCCTAGAAAATTTTGAATTCTCGGGATATCAAGTCTCAGATCATGTTCACTTTGCATCATCGCATTAACTTTTCATCTTCAAAATTCATTGTTCACTTTTAGCTTCAACATTACAAACAGTTCACTGTTCAACTACATCATGCTCTAAGTTCATCATTTGTCAAAAAGGTAAGTCCATTATTATCATTCAGTTCATCTTCAAAGATATACTTCTTTTGGTTTATTTCTAAAAATGGGTTTTAGAGTTTAACGTTTAGGATTTACGATAAATTTACTATGTATGAACTGCATATTAATTGTTTATTTAATATATATTCACTAGTAACGACTCTGCATCGGATGTCTTACATTTCTAAAATTATGTTGCACAGTTTTCAATTTTATATAAGATGTGTTTTGTTCATTTTGTGTATCTTTTTCGAATTGTGTATTTAATGGTGTTGACTCCGTATCAACGGTTTACTGATTGTCTTCCATTTTTAAAATTATGTTGCACCGTCTTTAAATTTCAATTAGTTATTTTTTTGCTCATTTTATGTATCTTTTTCGAACTACGTACTCACAGTATATTATTGTGTATTCATTTGCGTATTTACTGCATAAGTGAGAATCAATTATGTATCAGCTGCATATTTTTTCTTTGATTTATGCAGATGTATGTGTATGTTTAGCCTATCACTAATCGTTGTTTTGTATCAACATTTAAAATTATTTCGACTATTTCGTCGAGATAATAGAAAAGGATGTCGAAGACATCTCGAAGAGATTATACATTTATTAATTTTTAAAGTTCTCACCATTTCAGCAAAATGTTCCTTTGGTATATGAGTTGCTCAAATTCTTGGATATTTCTCAGTAATCTTTCATCATCGTCATTTGTTAAAATTCACATATGATGATGTGGCTCTATTCAAAAGTTTTCCAAATATATATATATATATATTGAGGTCATATGGTAGAACGAGCCACTTGCAGGATTCACATCAATTAATATTAAGACTAAGATGATAGAAATAAACAGATTAACAAACACATCCGTTATGTTAAAGATATTTACCATGTATTTGTTGTCAATTTTATTTTTCACCCTTAATAACCTCAAAACCCTAAGAAGGTTCCTTATTATTGCAAGTAATATAGGTGAGTTCTCATCTATTAACTGGGAAGGGACCTTAATGAAATTTATAGTTAATGAATTCAATAAAATTGTCACAAAGTTTACTTTAGAGAAGCCATTGGCTTATATAAATAGTTTTGTGTATCTGCTAATTACAAGTTCTAAGAACATCTTGGTGTCATTCTAATTATTCATTCATTTTAATAATTCATTTGCTAATATTAAATTTAATCTTATGCATATTTGGTTCATAGAGCACACTTCAATAAATGACATTATGTACCCACAATTAAGACCCCGTTTCCTTTGATGGGGCAACACATAAGTATTTTATTCTACCAAAAAGGCCACAATTTTATTTAATACGCTAAAAGAACAATAAGTACGTATGAATATTTATCATGGGGCACATTTTAATTAATGCACTTAACATATGATATTTGCTAACAATGTAATAATTATGTGCAGATTTTTGATATCCTATTGATAATAACACATGAGGAAACAAACAATCTATTTACTAACTTCACTTACATCCCTCATTCTCCCCAGCAAGCCCCCTCTCTAACACCACTAAAGGATTGGGTTGGTGTCAAGCAGGGATTGGGTTGGTGTCAAGTAGAAATTGCTAGCTCATTCCCCCCTCGCCCCTATCTTTCTGCAATACAAGCTTAGGATTGGACAAGCATCTAGGAAAAATTAATGGGTTTTGTCCGGGTTGGCATTGGGTATTCCAAGCTAATTAGTCAAATTTATATGGTCCCATAGTACAGCTCTAGGCTCCACACAAATAGAGCATTAAAAAAAATTACTTCTAAATTTAATTACAATCATATCAAATAGAAATTAATCTCTAATCAATTTTTATTTCTACTCCTAAAAAATATATTTTTGTATCTTGTTTTTTCTCATCTCTATCTTTATATTTATTTTCAACCATATCCTTATATTTTTATTAATATTTTGAATTTGACCCACTTATAATTTTCTCTATCAAAAGTAAACATTACTTGATAAATTAATTTGA